CAATATATATATATATATATATATATATATATATATATTAACTTGGATTATTTCTACTTATTTAAGAAGAAAATAAAGTTATCAAATATTTAAATATAATTAAACTCAAATCTCTAATAAATCATTAATCCAAATATAATTAGAGTTATTAATTTGGATTTGGCCTGATCTGCTATTTTGTCTAGCTCACAAATTAGGTCAAGTTAGACCTTAAAAATGATGACTTAAATAGAATCAAATCATTTTAACTCAACTTGACAGGTCAAATGGGTCAATGTTGAGTTGGTCCATAAGCTTATGGATTAACTCGTTAAACAAGTAAATGATTACAAGGTTAAGGTGGTAAATTAAACCCTAAACTCTAAATTAATAAAATATAATAATAGTAATTGTTTTTTTTGTTGGCATTCGTTTACAAAGTTGTGATTATAAGCTTAAAGTTAAGGTTAAGCATTGTGAGAGTTTTTCTACTCTTATTGCGTTCTTGATGGCTTGATCCCGTGACTTGTCATCTCTATGAGAGTTTCACTCTTTTCTTCTATTCAATTGTTCAAGTATACTTACCTAACTAATTGAGTCTTTTTCTTGTTCTAACATTTTTCCTATCTCATTTTAGTTATTGTTTGTTACTTTATTGCTTGTTGTTGGTGCTACCCTTAATCCCAAGTCTTACCAAATACCAAGTATGTTATTTTATTTTTTTAAAGCTTGTGTGTTGTACACTAAGAATTATAAAATGAATTTTGGTTTATTGTTGCTTTATTGTTTGATGTTGGTTTATTAATTGTTGCTGTTGCTTATGATGAATTAAAAATTATATTGACTTGTTGTTTTATAACTCATTATGAAAAGTGTGAAATGAATGAGTAAACTTGTTTAATTTTGAATAATGTAGCCATGAATGTTGATGATATTTTTATAACATGGAGGATAATTTAGATACAATAGAAATTCCACCTAACATAGAAAGAGCCTATTGTTGCTACTAATTATTCTTTAATACTATCAATAGTAAAAGTAAGAAAAAGATTATAAATGACTAAGACCAAGATACTAAGAAAGCTAAGAAAACTAAGCTTAATACCTCTAAGGTATGAAATTATAATGAAAGGTTGATCTAGTTGATGGGAGAGAATAAATGGAAATGCAATGGTTATGAAAAACTGTTTACATATAAAGTTATTTTAGCTACTAATCATTTAAGACGTCTTATTATTAAATATGTTGGATCTCTTGAATACCAAGATGTTGGGGTCATATGAGATAACAAAGCTAATTTATTAAAGCAATGAAAATTTGGTCCTAAAGCTTATAAAGACACAATTGTTAGGTGTATTATCATGCATTCATGAATGATGTTCCATATAGTTATGTTGAATTTGAAGGGATTTGGGCAGTGAATAGAGTGTTAAATTATTATTTTGAACCCAATTGTAGAAACATTTCAACAGCTAATTCTAATGAAGTATTTTTAACTAAACAAGAAAAAGTTAAAGAATGTGTTAACTACTATTCTAGGTAGAATATGTTTAACTTCTAATGTATGAATATCTGTAACTACCCAAGACTATATATATGATTATGACTAACTAACTATTCATATGTAAGTAATATATAGTATCAATTAATCATGTCATAATTTTTATTTTTTCTTTAATTGTTAAAAAACATATATTTAATTTTTTTCAATGTATTTTTTTTAATAGGCCAATTCATCCCAATAGCCCAACATGGGTCAAGTTGGGCCAAAAATTCACAGTTTGAAAAGAATATAGGCCAAACTAACCTATCTAATAAGCATTTATTTTACTTACAAATTATAACATTTTTGACACTTATCTAACTAGTTTTAAAAGAAATATGTGTTCTAACTCCTTAAATATTCAAGGAATTAAAAGGGTGTATAAATACGATAGTCTTTGAAGAGTTTATGGATTTTTAACTTATGAAGCCTTATTTTTTATGCAGATTTGATGAAGTCCCAAGACCTTAAGATTTCTCAAATCTACTCAGCTGATCAACATGGGCTCAATAGATCAGAGGTAGATAGCAAAGTTTGTTGCAAAGCAAAATCTACCTAGTCGTTGGAATGGGATGAACAAATTTGGCCCAAAGATGTAAGAAATTTTTTATCTTCAAGGGCTCAATAGAATGAAATTGGCTCAACTAATGAAGCTTTTATGCTTTATTTATTGGACCTATTTAAGGCATGAGGAGAGAGAAAATTGACATCAAACAAAAGAGAGTTGAGAGAGACACAAAGCTTAAGGGAAAAAAAAACTTGAAGAGTCATCTAGATATATAGGAATTTTGGGTTCATCTTCTCCTTCTATATTTTCTTTGTACATGGAGATTGCTCTCATTCTCATGAGTAGCTAATCATCTTCTTTTGTTAGGATTGAATGTGATTTATCGAACTCTTATATAATCCTTTTGATATATATATATACAAGATCTGTACACGCGCGTCAATTGTATCAATATTATAACATATCAATTGTAACACCCGATTTTAACGCCCAATTTATATAATAATAATTATATATTTCTTATATAATATTTTCGCAAATATATCGTTAACAATATTTTTTTATGGATAAAAATAAAGAAACAGAATATTTTGTGAATTTAATACA